AACATGTTCGCCCTTACAGCCATAGAGGCGTTATAATGTGACAGCCAATCTCACTGTTCGTTGTTAAAAAGGTATATCACTGTTAGTTATGAACTAATTGCGACGAAGGTTGAAAAATCTGGTGCATTTGCTGCTTATTTGCTCTCTCTGCTAGAAACAAAAATCAGTTATGATATTTTTAAAATCACTTAGTTGTTAGGGCGCTCCACTCGCAATCTGAAGGGCGCGGGTTCGAATCACTGTCAGAGAACATGTTCGCTCTTACAGCCATAGAGGCGTTATAATGTGACAGCCAATCTCACTATTCGTTGGTAAAAAGGTATATCACTGTTAGTTATGAACTAATTGCGACGAAGGTTGAAAAATCTGGTGCATTTGCTGCTTATTTGCTCTCTCTGCTAGAAACAAAAATCAGTTATGATATATTGTTGTTATCTCAAATCCCCCACCAATCGAACACGTATCTTAGTTCACTAACACATAAATTTTTCAATTATATTGACACATATTACAAAATATATTGCAATATCTCATTGGGGCAATGTAAAAATGCGTAAATTTATATCAAGATCGTTTCCATTTAAAGGCAGTAAATGGAGATATGAAAATCAATGTAAAAAAGTAAATATACCCAATGGAGGGCGTCTTAGAGATCTTGTCCTTCCAGTTTAGATCCTCTGCATTCCCTCCCTCTAGATTCAGATTCGAAATTGATATAAAAAAATCTATAAAAAATACAAATGGAAAACAAAAATACAATACAATTAATGCTCAAAATAATAATAATAATAATAAGCTCGGAAGTAAATATTTCTAATGCCTTAATAATAATAATAATACCAATAATTTAGAAAAATTCAGGAAAACTGGATTTGCTTGAACGTTTGATAATAATACGCTGTCATATGATTGATGAATTAATGTACAGCGACCTGTAATAGTAGTGAATACGAGTTAAATGGTTTCGTTTTTTTTTTTTTTTTTTTACGACCTTAATCCCAACTAGTTTTGGGTTGGCGGGTATTTTTGTAAGCCAATAATATTTTTATACCCGAGTGGCTGGCCCAGTCGACAATCATATAGGACGAGCATGTTCAGCGACACATGACCCCCACTTTGCGAGTTGAGCGCCCTAACCCCCAGATCATGCCAGGCCCTTGATTACGGTTACCCTTTCCAAAATCTGGCATAGTCTGGTGGTTAGGGCGCTCGACTCGCAATCTGCCGGTCGCAGGTTCAAATCGCCCTTATCGAAAATGCTCGCATTTTCAGGCATGGGGACGTTACAATGTGACGGTTAATTCCATTATTCTTTGGTAAAAGAATAGTCCAAGAGTTAGCGGTGGTATTGTTAACTAGCTGCTTACCCTCTGACCTATTACTGCTAAATTAGAGACGACTAGTGCAGATAGCCCTCGAAACCAAACATTTTTCAAAATCTATCCCACCTAAATATGCGGTCGCCCCCACCACATCATAGCACATATACTATATCAACTTCTCCCTTATCTGTGCTATTTCGTCGAACCGAATAAATTGGGGATTTAAGCGTCATTAACGAAAGGTTAATAATGATTTTACAGATGAATTAAAACTTACATTAAATGATTAAGTTAAAAAATGTTAAAGATATAGCGCTCACACCTTGTGTTATTCTGTCTGTCATTATAATTACATTATTGATTTTATGATAAAAAAAGAACATTTAATTAAGTCAATTTATTTTATTTGCTTTTATCTAAATGAATTTTTTTTCTGATGTAGTGGAATAATGAAAACATTCCAAAAGATGAAACAAGAGTTCTGTACTCGGCTGTTTTCGGCACCTTTAGCGGTCGTTGCTATGGCAGTATTGTGGACAGCGGTGGCGCCGCTTGTGGCTGAAGGCTGTTTACAGTGTAAACATAAGTCAATACGCAAGAGGAACGATAAATTTCCGGTAAGATTTGTTTTTTCTATGCAGTAACTTAATTTATCGCACTTATTGGGTTAAATTATTATTAAACTGCTTAAATCTGAAAACTCCATTATAAACTTCATATACACTTAGTTCAAATCGAGCTTTACATAAAACTGTTGCTTGTTACCTCATTATTTAATTGCTATTATTATTATTATTATTATTACTTAAATATAATAATAAATTAGGCAAGAATGTGTTATATAATCAGTCTTAAATGTGTTTGTATGACATACATAGATTCCTGGATGTGTTAACACATAATGAGCTAAATGGCCAGGTCACAGGTCACTATGGTTCAGGCACAGTCGTCCCGAATTTTCAGCTACGGACTAGTCATACGCAGCAGTGGCTAACTTAACAGAATAGCAGGACTGGTGTTATTAAAAACCTTTATAATCTGGGTTTTTCTAATGCAATTATATATATATATATATTATTACATTTCAGCCAATCAAAACTTTTTGACATCGAGGCCTGACAGTTAGGAAGCTCCACTCACAATCTGTTATAGGTTTGAATCCCATTATGGAACATGCTCCCCCGTTTAGTGGGTAACGGTATTTTCCACTTTTCGTAGGTAAGAGTAGCCCAAGAGTTGGCGGTGAGTGATGATGTCTAACTGCTTTCCATCTAGTCTATCACTTTTAAATTAGAGACGGATGGCACAGATAACCGTCGAGTAGCTTTGCGCGAAATTTAATAATACAAAGAAACGAGTCATTTTTTTTTTTCAGGCTAGCTTGGCTCAAATTTTCATAATAATATTTCAGTAAGGCTCAGTTAGCCTTTATTTTTTCTCTAAAATTGTTCTCTTCCTGATATTCATATTCGTATAAAAACTAAAGTATAACAATTCGGGTTATGTATTGTTTTGTATATGTTTAGAGCCTGAATCATTTTAAGTCTTTTTGCATTACCTTTCGGTAATTTAAGGTTAAGCAGTTTAGATGAAATTTGATGATGATTTCTGGGCTATAATGTCGATAATAACAAAAATACCACTCTTGAGCTTGTAGAAATATTAACGATAGGAACAGTATAGATTGTTATTTGAACATTAAAAAGATCATTCAGATTCTATAAAAGATGAAAGACTAGAAAAAAAAATGCTTTCTCATTTCTAGAATTTTTATGACGATGTGAAGTTGTGAGATCAATTTAGAACGTTGTCCCCAAACTGCTACACATGGATGATGAGTTGGTGATCCTTTAATATCACGCTTTCTCTATATGCCCTTGGCCTGTCATAATCTTGTGGTTTGAATAACTTATTTGTGAACTGATACGAGGATTTATTAGAAAATTATTTAAATGTTGACCAGTCATTAATTTTGTACTTATTATTTGACGAGTTGTTACCATATCTTTTGTAGACTTTTGTAGAGCGTAACGTTCTAAAATACACTGTTAAATAGTTTGATAAAATGAAGGCTAAATGTAACGTTTTTCCCCACTGGTTTAGAATGACAGAGAAGCAGTAAAAGAAACAATGAGTAATTTCGACAGAGTACTTCAGATGATTGACGAAGTAACCAATTCAAACTTTTGTGAAAACCACGAGAAATATCGTTCTCTTCCTTTAGAGATGCCGACAAATTTGTTTGATATTGTTCGTCAGAAGGTGGATTTGGTTGCCAGGGTTTTGGAAGGGTATTTCCCACACAAAAATGAAGGTAGGAAATGATTAAACACTATAATATTTAAAGTAGATTTTAGTTGAATATATATGTACATGTCTTTACATTATCTTCTAATTAAGGTAAATGCTAAGGACAAAGTTTGAACTCTATTTCTAGCATCTCGAGGTGGAAGAAACCCGTTGTAATAGCCACGCGAAACTATTTTCAACAACGATTGAAAACCTGAGTTATTTTAATTGCATTAAAAATGACCTGATAATATTTTAATTAAATTGAAATAGGCAGATGTTTTAATGATCATTAAGTGTACGATTAAACAACAAGTTTTTTTTTTTATTTGCGAGTAAATGCACTCTATTATCAGTTTCTTGCTACTGAATGTCTACAATTATTTTCAATTTATCGCCTACCGCTGTAGGTATAGTTGGAAGACAGGTAGTAACGTTGCAGCAAATACTTTCTCGAATCTATATAAATATAATAGTACCGTCTGTTGTATGTCCATGTAACTACTTCGCAGAGTGTGGATGGATCTTCACCAAAATTGGTATGAAGGTTCATTAAGCCCATGCGGGGGTACATAAAAATTCTCAGTTTTGCCTATTGGGGTTTTTATGAGTGTTTTTCCGTTTTCTACCACTACTTCACCCTCTGTTGATGGATCTTCACCACATTTTGCATGAAGTCTTTTTAGGTCCATGAGGAGATTCAGTCAAACTTGCGGTGTTTCACATTTTGTATTTTGCAGTCTTTATATGCGTTTTTTACAATTACATATAAGAGAAGCAATTTTTCATGTCCTAAGATAACCTTTCATTAATCATGAATTTACACAATTTCCGTCCAGGAGACGGGTACTCCAGCTAGTTGCTTATAATCTATTATAATAATACTGTTATGTCTGTCCTGAAAATGCGCATGCGCGCGCACTCCATACCAGCGCATTAAATATATTTTAATAGATATCATTAATTATGTTAGTACTTAATAGTAGGAATCGTGATGAAACCAAATAGCGGCCACAAAAATTACCCTTTTAAGACCATCTTTAAAATGTCTGAATATCAACAATGACTATTTCACAGTATTGGCTGAGCGAAACTAAAGCTTATTGTACTTATAAAGCCATCTAAATCGCTATATACGTGTGTATGGAGTGAATCAAAATTTTAATATTTCAACGAATTTTCATCTAAGTAAGTAAGTAAGTAAATGGCTTTTCCAGATAAGCGCACAGAATAAATGACCAACCTTATCGCTCTAATTATTTCACAGATCTCTTCTGACTAGGGTCCCAATGATTCCTCTCTTGTACCGAAAATAATACTAGTATATATATATATAAAACGGACGATTCGCTACTTTGGGCATATAATTAGATTTGATGGTAGTTTGGTAGAGATCCTGATCAGTAATAAAATCGAATCGAGTATACGAGCGCCCCCATTACTGGCACACAAATTGTTTGTTTGTTTGTAATTAAGCATAAAGCTACACAATGGGCTCTCTGTGCTCTGTCCACCACGGTTATCACTAGCACACAAAAATATAGCTAATGAAAAGGAAGCAAACAAGTGTAATAAAGAAATTAATAAATTTTATAAAGACAAGTAGGGATCGATATATACGTAACTTAGCTCGCTATAGTAACATGGAAAGTTACTTAAAATTTACATTTTTTTTATCCCTACTTTGGATCAGACTAACATAATTAAAGTGATTTGCGAAATAAGATATAATATTTTTAAAGTTTTAAGTAGCTCGATTTATGTAGTTTTGACTTTCTTGTTTCAATCCTTTTTGTAGCATTAAATCTTTCCATATCACTATATCTAGCTAGGTTACGTGTATATCGTCTTTATAAAATTTAAAAAAAAATATTATACTTTTTTTTTATATAACAACATATTAAGAGCTTATTAAAGTGTTTAAAAAGGTTTAACGTTAGGTCGTAGAATAACATTATAAGTTTATGTACTGATACCATTAAGTACGGCAAAGTTTAGCTCTAACTAAACTAAATCAAAAAAGGCACACAAATATTTATTTATCTCTTTATCGAATATAGGCCCGGCATGACCAGGTGGATAGGGCGCTCGACTCGCAATATGAGGGTCACGGGTTCGAATCCCCCGTCACACCAAACATGCTTGCCCTTTCAGCCGTGGAGGCGTTATAATGTGA